TAAAATAATAAAATTTAATTACAATGATCATTTCACCAAAGGGCTCTGAAACTACTAGATAATTTATTCTATCAGCTCGAATATCGCTATGGTTCCAAGGTCTTCATAACAAAAGATCTCTCCTACGAGTACTCAGTCTCGTCGATTGTGCCGCGGAAAGAGCAGGTTATCTTATGAGAAGTTGTCCGATCACCAAGGTGGAAAATTGGTTGAACTACTTAGCTTGATTCTTGATCATTAGACCAAAATGTGCCCCCTGCAGTGTTTCGCATCGTGAAATAAACGCATGTCTCGAAACGTTTGTAAGTATTTAATTTATTTTGAAGTGAGTGTTGCTAAATGTCTTCTCTTGCGATGTTTGTAAATAGTTGCTTTGTTATCAAGCATGAACCCAACTTTTTTCTTGACCCTGTTTGGCGACTCTTTATTTCTCTTCTTACATAATGTACAACAAAACATTTAACACTTTGCAGAGTCTTCCAAATGGTCTTTGAAATTGACTTGCATGTCTTTGAATATTTGCTTTGAGATTTTTTGGTTTATAAGTATTAAGAGTGCATAAAACTATCTGGAAATAAAAAAATAAAAATTAAGCTCTATTTTTATTATTTATGTAAGTAGCATTAGATGCCTCCCCTCTCTATAGACCGTTCCATTAGGGTCATAGCAGAGAGGGTAAAAGAGAAAAAAATGCACTCCCCCTCTCACCCCTCATGTCGCCCGCTCCGCCGAGTGGGCCGTAGCTATAGTCAGTTACAGGTTAAGAAGGTAGCGGCAAATGCCCCTCAAAGGGAATCAGATATCCCTCCGCCACCTCCGCATCCAATAGCGTCCCATCGTTTCCGTGACGTCGCGGCCAACGCGCGAGGAGGGTCTTGCCTTTCTGCACATATTTCCTTTATCTTTCGACTTTGACTTAGCATTGTGGAAGCCACGAGAGGGAGATTAGAGTTCTCCCCCACCGGCGGAAACAAATACGACTTTCGGGGATTAGCTTCCCCCCCGATGGATACAAAGGCTGCTTTCAGGGGCTCGGTTCCCTCTCCGATGAATACAAAGGTCGCTTTTTCAAAAAGTGGGATCGGAGACAAGTGGGAATCCATTGAAGCGGAACAAGGACCGTTTCCAGTGAACTCTTCTTTCGACTGCGGAGAGATTTGAAACGGGCGCATCACACTTGTGGGAGGAGCTTCTCCTACCTTCTTGACTTGTAACCGACTATAGCGTCCGGCTGGCGTGCAAACTCTGCTTAAAATCGCGTCATTTTGGAACTTTCAAGCGCAGATGCGCAGATTTTGGTATGCCAGTTGTCGTGTAATATTATGCTAAATAAAAAGACTCGCAGGGTCCAATGGCGCTGTTACCAGCGTGCAAATAAAAAAAAAAATAGGGAAAACTGTGTTAGATTGGTCGGTCTCTTTGGCGAAAAGTAAATCCGGTTGCTGTGCTTTTTTTACTATACAAAGTTCGTACTGGTGTAGGCCTTTAGCGACCATGAGCGGAAGTCTGAAATAATAAATGAAACGTGCTCTCCTGCCGCAATACACGCAGTAGTTAAGGGTAGTACTGCCGGCTGACTCAACTGCTATTTAAGTAACGGAAAAAAGATATGCTAGTTGATCATTTAGCCAAATAGAACAACAGAGAGCTCTAGGCTGATTTTGGAGTAGCCACAACTATTCTAAGAACGCGAACCACTTCACAACGGCAGCCACTAGCGAGAGTTTGATGTTCTGTACAGCCCGCCGATACAGCCCAAAGATGGAGAACGGCAACCTCCCGGTTTGTCGTCTGCTAGCGGAGTCGGGCGCGTGCCCTCTCTCTCGTTTTACCCTGCCGAACCCGCTGAACTTCCCGGATGTGTGGAGAGGGCGCTGCGGTCGAACAAAATGGTGCCGCCCAGAGACCGCTAAATGGAATGGTCTATACCTGAGACTCTTTCTCACAATGTCATCTTTACCTTTATCCTTTAAGTCACGTGAGAAAAAACAACCCTGGGCGGATACTTGAACCTTTTATCAAGGGATGGCGCCAGGGCCCATTTCTCACACACAGCCCTAAGCTTGTCCTTTTTAGCAGCTGTGTGGGATCCCCACCACAACCTAGATTTGTTCTAAATGATTACCAACGCAGGGAAAGTGTCACCACCATGATGAATAATTTAAAGTAAGAATCACTAGTTGAATGCCGAAAAATGTTTAGGTTAAAATTTTTACATGATATATATAACAATCACCTTTTAATCAGTCGACAAATGTTTTTACAGGAACCTTTTTATATATTGGGAAGGGCGGACGACCAGAACAAAATCCGACCCTACTTTCGCCGTACTGATGTTTTTGTGTTTTCTTTTTTTCCAAAAACTATAAAAGAATGGAATAGGTTGGCTACTGAAGGATGTAACGTTTATACAAGTTTGTTTGTGTTTCAATGTTTTTGTTAGAATTTAATGTATTTCATGTACTCACCCCTGCTATAATGCCGACCGGCGATGCAGAACTCTATGTAAATAAACAAAAAAAAACAAAGAAAAACATCTCTGGGAGTATGCTTGAACGTTTTACCTACACAAGGCGACGCCACTAACTACAGGGTCACGTCCATGCTAAAGGACCGTCAGATGACGCCAAATTTAGCGGGTCTAAGCTGTTACCACCAGATGTCAGAAAATTTAACGAGATTGAACTCAGGATCCAAGGGTTTTGCAGTGCCAGCTTTCGCTTTACGTGCTCCGAGCTAGTGTGCGCCAGTTCACTCGGCCACCGATCCCCCTAAGCATAGTTTACATTCCATTAGTCCACAGTTTTATAAGCAACCTCGCTCCTCTTTTTTCCATCTTTTGTAACGAACACATACCATTTTATATTGCACTTTTAATTGGTGATGAATCTCTCGTGTCATACACCCAAGCTTTTCAAATTTTTAGAAAGCAATAACAACGCCTTTCAATATTGAATGTGTGTAACCCAAAATGAACAATACTTACTGAAGGATATTTGAACACTGTCATAAAGGTGCACCTTGTCCTTGGCGCACTACGGTCTCCATTGCAGCTGTGCCAGAAAACAATATTTTCCTTCCACTCTTTCTGACACGTAAAACGGACTTTGAATATAGCTATCTCCAGCAATACAGCATACATCATTATAAAATTAGTAGAAATCTTTAGTCTTAGGTCAGGCTTCTTCTGCAGTTTTCATTCTAAATGGGATTTCCTATTTGTGACACTTGCTTTAAACATATAATTATTTAGGACAAATCTTGCACAGCGACTTTGCATTCCTTCTAGTTTATCAGAGATACTTTTTTTTTTGGGGGGGGGGGGTCCCAGATTTTGCATGCATATCGAAGGACTGAACGGACAAAAGAAAAACCCAAACTTTCTTTTAGTTCTGAAGGGCAGCGCTGGCAATTTCGACACACAAAGTTTAAGAGGCTATTTGCCTTTTTTTGTTATTGCATTGATATGATTGTTTCATGACAGGTCACTTGAGAAGTAACACTAAGATAAAGAATTAAATAAGTTCTTTCAATATGTTTGTGTTTAATAATTAGCCCACACCTTCTATAACTTTTCTTTCTCTCGAAAAAAAACTTGCCATTCTACATTTACTTACATTATGTTTCACGCACCAGTCACTAAACCAGATTGATATTCGACTTGTCTAATTGAACTTTAAAATAAGCATCATCGTTAATTGTCCTGTATAAAACAACACCCCTACGAATAGTTTAAGATGCAAAAAAATTTTTACATAAATATTATTTATGTACGCCAGAACAAGAGGACCGAAGATTGAGCCTTGTGGGACATTAGATGCAACGATTACAGTACTTGATGAATGACCATTCAAAATCACATGCGGCTTTCCATCACAAAAGTAGTTGCCAATCTAGAAAAAACATAAGGATCAATAATCAAAACATGTAACTTTTCATTAACAAACAGTGATCCACTTTATGAAAAGTTCTGCACGTATCTAGGAAAGCACAAAAAGCATGTTTTCCGTACTTAATTCCAAGCGCGATGTCATAATAAAATTTAACAAAAATTATGTGCAAGATTCACGGGACCGAAAACTATATTGATATTTCACCTTTATTTTAAATTAGTTTACAAAAGCCAAGTGGCAAGGCAGCTTTAACACGTGATCTGAATTGCACATGCAGTCAACATATGGATAACTAGCACGGGTTAAGATTTCGAGGAAGCGTTGTGCTGGTAGCTCAATTAGTGAAGTGCTAGGCTACAGCGGACGAGGTATCGAGGTTGATTCCCAGTCGACGCAGAATCTTTTTTGACAAATTAAACATTTACCACGCAGCGATTCCAATATCACATGACCTTCATCAGCTGACCACAGCAAGAATGCCCTCCAAATCCCCTTTTCCATGCTGCAATTCAAATCCCATTGCGCCTAGCACCCTCTTTCGGAAGCAGCTGAAACCTGGTGACATCAAGTGGTAATGTCACTGGGTTGTCACGACAGCGGTTGTCAACAAATGGTGATGACATCTGCTGTGACTAACAGCCCCCCTGCTACATTCCTTTCCCAAGCGTCTGGCAAGTACCGCAGACGTGACTTCACACCTACACTGCGTATGTGACTCGGGGGTGGGGACATCTACGAGCTCCGATTGGTGCCTGGCCAGTGCCCTGTTGGTGGGGCCAACTATGTTGGTGATCACTGGGGGCGTGGCCATCAATGACCACGGCCTGTCATTGGTCACTGGGATGGGAGAAGGGTAAGAAAAGCCCTCCTGCACTGTGATTGGTCCGTGGCAGAGTTGGTACACTTTTCCTACTACTTGCATTCTGTATGTTATTTTATCCACATAAATATTAATGTGCAGAGATATATCAATAAAGTGCATGCAATATGCAGCAGAAATATCAGATCACATTGATTTTGAAAATCAGAAGTTCACGGCTATTTCTGTTGGGACAACTTATAATGAGAATGTTGAACAGTGTTCAAAAACTGTGGCATATTACTCACTTATTTGGGTCCTTAAGTTCTTCTGACACATAGTTAAGGTAGTTCCTAGAAACGAAAGCAAGAAAGAGACAGCAATAAGCAAGTGAGAAAGTCACCAATGCTCCACTGTAGATGAGAAGACCAGAGAGGAGTTCCATGAAGAGGAACTCCTGACACTCAATACTCCAAACAGAATGCTCAGCTGAATACTCAACGGTGAATATTCAAAGCTGAACAAAAGCTGAATAATCAATGCTGAACACTCAATATTATATACTTCATGCTGAATACCAAAATCTCGACACTTAAAGCTGAATACTCATAGTGAAACCTAAAAACATATCAAGTGTAAAGAGTACAGAATACAAAGAAAACAGACCAGGTGGCAAACTTTTACTGCAAAGAAAAATGTAAAACCGCAAAAAACTGGAAAAAAAAGGAAGAGAATGCAGGAGGCTTTTTAAACAAAGGATTTGTAGCAGCTCGAAATCAGCACTCTTTTATCAGATTGAAACATTTTGGCAACATTTCAACTTGTTTCATGAGTTACTAAGAGATACCAAAATGAGATGTCACTCGTGTGTGCCACACCGAATGGTTTTACTAAGTTTAATAAAACCATTGCCTTCCTCCTTTTAATGCCTGCTTTAAAGGGACACAGACAGAGTATTTATGCTTGCCAAGGTTTTTATCTGTACATGTCACATGAGAGCCCAACTACCCAGAACACAAATTACAGCTCGAAATTCGTTTTCTTTTTGCCCGCAAACCGCCGATCGAGAACTGGGCGTTTTGAGTCGCGCTCAATCTTTTTTCCGTGATCACAAGCCATTGTTTATGGTTTAGACACAACCACCACAGATAATCGGAATCGTGGGTCATTGAAGGCACACTCAATACTACATATAGACTGAAAAAAAAACACCCATTTTTTTGTGGCTTCTAAAACGTTGCAAATACGTTGATTGAAAAAAAAAAAAGCTGCACAGCCACGTGATTTCCGGTAACTTTCTCTTCCCCCATATCTCTTCTTCCTCCGCAGTTCGGTTTCAGTTCCGGTTTCGAGCAGTTCCGTTTTTTTACTTTATTAAAAACATTTAAAAAACTTTATCAAAAACAAAAACAATTAAAAACGCCAGGTCCCACATACAAGCACACCAGTGCTTTTGCGGGCCTGCATATGTAATATGTTTATGATGTGAATAAAATGTATTATTATTATTATTATTATACGTGATGCCGTAGCAAAATAATGATTGGACAGTTTTCTGACGCCATAATAAATCGCCTGGAAAAAAATTAAAAAAAAACAATTTTGGGATGATTCAGCATCCCTTTAAATCAAGGCCTTCAATCCTATGACTTATTAATAAAGGTCCTCAAATTTATGACCTATTACTGCGTCTTCTTACAACCATCATCGTATGTCCATTCATTCCTACATTTACCCGATATATTGCCTCAATTGTGACTCAGTTTATGAAACAAAGTGAATAATCACCATCCTCCGTATGCAAAGAGCCCGGCGTAGAAGGAGAGGGATATTCCGGACACGGAGTACTCCCCAGCAAAGCTGTTCTGCAGGTAGCCCACCTGTCCTGCAAAAAGGAAAAGAGCACCAAATGATTGCCAGGACCGAGTTGAAACAGATACCGTAAAATATTGAAGTACTCGCACAAAAAGTTTAGGACGATAACAAAACAAAAATTCCCATTTATTGCTGCGTTCCGCAAATAAACTGCGGTGGCAGCCGAGATAATGCACAATGCTGCACACAGTTACACTGTTGCGTTTAAATTTAGCGAACTTACGTCCAGCTAAATTTAGCAGGCCGTCACATGAAACCATGATATCACCTTATTTAGTATGATATTGTGTCAATATGCATTACGTGTTGCATTTAAAGGGACACTGACAGGGTATTTATGCTCGCCGAGGTTTTTAGTTGTACGTGACATAGGAGAGCTCAACTACCCAGAACAGAATTTGCGGCTCGAAATTCGGTTTCTTTCCGCCCGAAAACCGCCGATCAAGAACTGGCCGGTTCGAGTCTCGCTCACTCTCTTTTTCGCGGTCACGGGCCGTTTTCTAAGGTATCGATGCGACCACCAAATTTAATCAAAGTCGTGGGTCACTGAAAGCACACACTCAATATTAAAAATAAAAAAAAATATGAAACCCATTTTTTGTGGCTTCTAAAAAGCTGCAAATACGTTGATTGAAAAAAAAGTTCCACAGACAACCGGAAGCATTCTGTGCGTTCGTCGTTTCGCGTATCGTGGGACTCGCGGGGACGGCGAGGGCAGCGGACGACGGGCGTGGGACCTCTATTTCAGAACTGTCGTTCGCGGTACCGGCGAATTTTGTCTACCGTTAAACGAGAAATTTGGGACTGATCAAAAGAATTTTTATTCATCCCGTACGACACGCCCCGCCACCCAGCCGATTTGCACGAAGACGTCGCCGAGCCGTCGCTCCCTTCTCGTGGCTGAAGACATCGCTCGCGCAAACGTCAAGCACGACGTGTCTACTTCGAGTTGAATATGCACGCGTACGATTTCTTTACTAGGTGCGAATGTCGCCAATGCGTGGTGCTTCCCGACTTCGACCCGGGAGTGCTTTTGCTAGAGGAAAATCGGCGGCAAACTTTCGAACTTACAGTTTACCGATCATTACTAAGGAGAGAGATCCACTGGTAAAGAGGTGCCCCGGTAGCTTAGTGGGAAAGACGTCCGCTTCATACACGGTAGGACCGAGATCGATCCCCCGCGAAACTTTTTTTTTTTTTTTTTTCAAACATTTTCCGATGTTTACATGTCTTTTCTTCTTTTTTTTTTTTAATTATCACTGAAGAAACAAAAAAAAAAAATAACAAACAAATGTTGTGGACAACACTTCGCTGAGTTAAATGGTATGGAATTTCCTTTCTGATACTTGGGAACTCAATGTAATCACTTTCCACAAAATGCAAGGAGCATATAAATCAGGAAGCCTGTGCTTTCCGAGGTGCCCGTAAATGTTGAATTGCAGCCATCCATTGGTCCCGATCCCGATGATCTTTCGGAAACTCTGTCGCACAATGCCCCCTTTTTTTTTTTTCGGACGCAGGACATGTGAGCCAGCTCTTCACGCAACATCTTGGGTGTATTCTTTTCGGAGCCGATCATGGAAATTCACCACGGGCACTCACTACTCATCTCCAACTCCTCAATGTACAAAACAACTCATCTTGGAGTTCAGGACAACGAGCGGAACAAACATAACTGCAAAGCGAACAGTTCCCGTACGCCGCATATCGTGTCGTCTGCTACGGAGAGGAGAAAAAAAAAAAAAGAACGCACGGTTGGGTGTAGTCACGTGACTTCCGCCACTCACTCTCTTCTCTCCACTTCTCCGACCTCCGTCGGGTTTCGGTTTCGGTTTCGAGCAGTTGCGTCTTTTGGCTTTATTAAAAAAAATACGCTGCTCTGTTGCAAAATATTAATTGGGTAGTCCTCTGACACCATAATGAAGCGCCTGACAAAAAATGGAAAAAAAAATTTTTTGATGGTGTCAGTGTCCCTTTAAGCTAAGAAGAAAACCAGCATAAAACCTTTTTTCGCCAAGAAAACAACAACTAAATATCAAAGTTAAGTCTGGTAACAATGTATTTTTGCCAAATCATTGCCGAATCTTAAAAAAGCTCGGCAAAAGTTTGACCATCTCTACAGGGTGAAACAAGGAGACGCCAGGCTCTTTAAATCGACCGGAAAATTCGGTTTCTTAACCTATCGCGCTACGACTTTGTGCAGCGTTACCCACAGGTGGTGCTTTTTTTTTTTTTTGTAAAATTTGCGAAGAGCGAACTTACCTGAGGAAAAAGTAAAGAAAGAAAAAGGCTTAGCTCCTATGGAAACGCAGCGACGCCACCGGTCTGCAAACAACACGGCGCCGTTTCGCACGGGAGACAAGAGATGGCGCAACAAATGCCGCCAACGAACGAGCATACGGCGCCGAGAGCAGGCCTTTTTAGCAGACGATCTTTTCGACTCAAAAGCGGCGCGCGTTCCGCAGGCGGCGATAGTCGCAGAAACAAAAAAGACAGGCGCGGTAACAGCAAGGCGAGCGCCTATCCAGAGATCTGCCCGTGCCTAGAACTGGGGACAACGCCAGCGTAGGGAAAACCGCTCGTAGGGAATCCGTTCGGATGGTAGTGATGATGATGATAATCATGTCATATAACACCTGAGACTGTGGTCGAAGAAATTGGAAACTTTTTAGTAGAAGGATCAGACACAAAAAGGGACGTCTCAAACTCAGCTAACTGGTTTATTTCTCGACTATCCTATATCATGATTGACTTGCCCACTGGCGCCACCCTGGCCTCGCTGTTTTCAACTTTCTCGGGTGCTCAGGTTGCCGGAGCGGCGTGTTTGAACCGTTTGAACCACAGGTTTGAACCACAGGCACCACAGGTTTGAACCGTTTCAACGGGAGTAATGGCAAAACGGACGGAGTAGCACTGCGTGGCCTCGCAATCCCAGCGACCCGACGAGCTCGCAAAGCGGTGCTCGGAAGACGACCCTCCCAAAGCCGACGACGCGCACTCACCTCTGTGGACAGCGAAGAAACATCGTCGCACTGTGACAACGGCGACTAGTACACGGCATTTATTTTTTGTTGGCGTTCGTTTCATAAAACCCGTCTTTAAGGTATGTGTTCAATCTTCATTATTTTACCTGCGCGGTAGAACCGGCCAACATCTGAAAGCTAAATCAGCCTGCGCGTTAGAATCGTGAAAACACGGCTAAGCGAATCTGCTGCGTCCTCAACCCCTTTTACCATGACACAGGATGTCGTAGCAGAGTCTTGCGTGTTTATCGCATCATAAAACGCAAATATGCCGTGTCCGCAATTCGCGGTATCAGTTCCCGTTTTATGTGGTTTGTAGCGGATAGCCCAGTTGCTTATCGCGTTTTTTAAAATAAATTTTTGCTGTCGCATTCCTAAAGATAGCCCACCCCATGTTTTTCCCAATTTATCTCTTCATTTTGGTTGGACATCCTTACGGGATTTTACGGTAGTTTTGCTTTGTCTCCTGCATAAGTCAATGTCCTTTCCACTTTTCAGGAGCTTGTGACCACCCTCAAAGGCTTGACGAGCTACGTGCTCATATTCAAGTTGGTGCCACGAGGTGGGCCTTTCGGGCATGCCAGGGAGGATGAGAGGCCGTCCCTGAACCGCCTACTAGTACAAAAAGGTGTTGCCCTCGGCGTTACCATCGTGAATGTCGACCGACGTAAGTACATGGAAATTTCACCCCTGGTGCACTGTCCTTTTGAGTTACATGTGACATGCCCCTTGTGACGAGATGTCATCTTCCGTGTTATTGGTAGCAGGTATTCATAATACCTCTGAAATGCTGTTCATTGAGAGTGACAAGGTTGGGCGGATATAACCTAAAAAGCATTTGAAATGACAAATACTGGAATACACAGCAGTGACAGCTAAAGTACTGATACTAAAATACATTTATAAAAGGAGCATTGCAAAACAACTCAAATATGTATGACTAAAAAATGGGTGACAAAGTATCTTTAAATATGTTTTGTTTGAAGGAGAAATCCTGATACTGAAATATGGGGGGCAGTCAGTTCATTGAACGACGTTTCATTGACAGTTCGTTTCATCGACAGTTTGTTACATCGACAGCTCGGATAAGCTTTTTTTCTGTAGTGACTCCCCGCAGAATGTTGCTGCGAAGCAGCTTGAGTGGGTGGGCCCACTGATCTCTACTAAAGGGGGCTGGATGGCGCTTAGCTGCTCTCCGAGCCTGGCGCAAGTGAAGCCACCGGAAGTTTGATTCTTGTCCCGGAAGCTTCCTAGTGCATTCAGTCAATATTTTGGACCATGCTTTTTTGTTTCTTTGATTGGGTTTTAATACTCCCGTTCTGGATTAAATCCCGAGAATGAGGCATTTGAACTTGAGACATATTCACAACTTGATCAACTAGAATCTCAAAATGTTTACATTGAATGGCTTCCATGATACTTCTCGGGTCCACATGCACTCTTACTGCGCAACAAGCAGGCTCTCTTGAGGGAACAAGCGAAAATCCAGCGCCCTCAACGCTTTTCGAACCAGCACTCGGAAGGGTTACAAAGCCTGCCAAGCACTCACTTCCGGGACAAGCCGCTCACCTCCGGTGGCTTCATACTTGTTTGCTCAATGCGCATACATCCAGCCCTCTCTAGTGGAGATCAGTGGGTGGGCCTTGTCGTGAGGATGACGCCAAGCCCTATGCCGTTACATACCCAAGGCGAGTTCCTCTTCCACTGCTCTCACAAGTGGAGAATGAATTGGAAAGGATGAAAGAAATGGGAGTCATCAAGAAGGTGGAAAAAGCAACGGAGTGGTCCGGCATCCTGCGGTACAGTGACACGGCCAGCAGCCCAACCAAGGTCCTACATTGTAAGCACATCGACAGGACTAACACGACGCACCGGGCAGGGGCTCCGGAAGCGGGGGGGCAGGGTGGGCTTGAGCCCCTCCTGTCCTCAGGACCGAGCTGCCAAGCCCCCCCTCCCCCTCCCTCGTTTTTTTTTTTTTTTTTTAGTT